TGAACGAAAATTGAGAGTAAGAAATTGTTGGGGGTGGGGTGTTAATTTAGTAAAATTGTAAATATACATTTAACTAGGTTTTCGTTAAAACACAGTCTTAACTTTGCCAGTTATGAGGCACCGATTACAAATGAAACATACATTTTAATTCCAAATTTAAAACGGATCGACTAAAATGACATATGCGAGATTCCAACCGACTTGCCTTTTGTCGGGAAGTGTCTGATCGTTTTGGTGAACACATCCAAAGGGAATTTTCCCTGACTGCTGAGGTGGAAAAAAACAGTGCTTTACTTCTACTACCTATTTCCCGGAGAGACGAATGGCCTACGGTCGGTCGGTCGGTGTTTGGTTTGGTGAACACGCAGACCAATCGTTGCCCAGCAAAATGCATAGTTGATTGTTAACAGTGTTGTGCAAGGGACCTGTGTATCTCCATTCCAGGCCTTTCGGTTGTATTGAAAGTACGTAAACATATCTATGCAAAAAGAAAGAGAAGCTAAATTTGTTTTTCAACGCCATATTTTCAGAAAATAAAAAATGAGCATGGCTTACAGTATAAAATACTGAAAAGAAAGGGAAAGTTACGTCTTTTGCATTCATAATCATATTTACAATTCATGAAAGGTATCAGTTTCTTTCAAAAGTTTACGGGTGGTTGGATGGCGCCACTGGTAGGTCTAATGCCTCTACCGCACTACGACAGTTTATCCTGGGACAGACCCGTCTGGAGTTTGAAACCTTTGAATTAGAATGGGTCATACTTCTTTAATTTTCCTCTGTTGTTTCTGTCTGTCCCCTTCACGAGACGACCATTTCTGTGTCGAAATGCTTCTCTTTATTCAAACAAAACAAACCTCCATTGGAATCTGTACGCTCTTGGAAACGAATAGGACGTCTGTACCGATTATATTTCTGTTGCTGAACACCACATTGAATGAGACAAAAATGTCTTGCTAATGGGTTTGAGCTTAATCATTATAATGTCATCTATTCCACAAAAACCAGGCCCGCCAACGTACATAAGTGTGTATGTTATTGTGCATCACTGTTGGCCAATCATGCCGTCATAACTTTTGTCAGAGGTGATCTCCATTCACTTTGGTGTTCGATTTTTATCTAAGAGCATCAATTGAACATTTAACAAAGGACAGAGCGAAGGAAATATATTTCCACGAAGATACAAGACTTGTCCCGCTAAGGGAAATCATCAATATTCTATCTAAGAGATGTGACTGATGTCGTGGAAAAATAGAAATACTGTTTTTTTCTTGTATTATTTCCCCTTTCTGCCGTATTTACCTACCAACGTCTGCATCATAACTGAATCTAAACAATGAAAGGTTATTAAATTCGCACGCAAATTGTGTTCATCAAATAAGCGGATATGTCACTAAAAAGTTCCTTTGATCTCTTTTTCAAATCTTGGTTGATGCCCTACTTTAAGGTCAATATCGATTTCTAGTCAAACAAAAGACAGGTAGGTGCATTGGTGTCATCTTGTGCATGAGATGTAAGCATTATTATGCTGCATTTAAGTTAAATATTTGTGGTAAGTAATTCTCAACTTTTCGAGAGAGAAAAAATAATAGTTGACATAACGAAAGTCTCATTACTGCATAAAAACAGAAATATTGTTTCTAATCTGATTCGTTTCCAATATTCATACCCGGAAGTAATGACCAATCAAAATATCACCTAGACTACACTTTTGACATTGACCAGAATCGAGAACTGATGTCTTCTTCCTGCGACCAAGAAGCACCTAGTCCCTACAGCACACACGTCGGTTATCGTGTTTTATTCTCTCTTCGTTTACAAGGGTTTATCTTCAGTGGAGCATAATGAGCTACATTTATTTCAGCACATACAGTCGACCCTTCTCTAACTACCATCTGTCCAAGATTATCTACAGTATAAACGACCAGTTCCCACTTGCCCCCTTGCTTTTTCTGGGTATAATATTTATTATAATGACACGGTCCAAAAAGGATGTTCTGTCTAATACGGGGTGCCCATTGAGGTATGGGGTCGGTTTATTAGCCAGACTGAGGGCGCGAAGCGGTTATCGTGGCACAAGCCAACTGCACCCGACTCGTCGCCTAAAAAACAAACGGGTTTATTTTCAGGCGACGAGTCGAGCGATCATTCCGACCCGACCCAATCCATCCTCAATGGGTCCTGCACACAAAAGGATCTGGCCCCGAGCTCTTCAAAATGGTCGAAAATCGCCACGTAAGTGACCAATCACACGAGGCCAGGCGCGAGCAGCGGCGCGGGTCCAGAAATCTAGACAGTACTAAATGTGCCCTCGGCCAGGGGTAGAGTGAAGAGGAGAGGCAAAAAAAATAACTTTGTTTTATTGTAAATGCGTTATTATCGGCGATAAATTTACCATGTAAGCTACACTCAACAACATGCTGGTTTTATATAAAATAAAATTACGTATGAAAAACAACAACTACTGCGAACCTTTTTACAGTAACCAAAGTGACGAAATCACTAGGCATGAACTCTGCGTATGTGTTAAAAATAACCCCAGGCCAAGACTCGAGACAAGGCGCGCTGCCTGGCTTGTGTCCATTACTTTATGCGTGTGTGGACGGTTAATTAACACTTTTCTCCTACACGGTTGTCTTGGACAAGTTGGACAATACATCCCACTCCTCAAAACAAAGACAAAAAATAAAAGATTAAGAAATCCTCATTAGAAATTTGTTAGTTTCGGCATGCACGTTGGACGTCGTTGAAAGTTACTATTGTTGTTGTTGGTGTTGCTTTTCAATGTTTTTGTTTTTGTTTTTAATGCCATACGTCACTTCTTCGCTCACGATACTGCCGGAATGACGAATAAGGGAAATCTTCTCGAAGACCCACAATCTTAAAACTCATCAAACACATTCAATACCCACATCCTAGACTCAAAACTCTCGGAATTGAGCCTGAAGAGTAATATCTATTTAGACATGAAACTTCAGCAATCGAAAGGGAACATTGTAGTAATATAAAGCATCTCATGTAATAGACAAAAAGAAGAAAACTATAAATTTTCAGTCAAATAGGCTGCAGTGGACTTCACTTAGCGTGATACCACAGTCAGAGACACAGGAGAAGAAAAAAAATCGGTTTAGAAATAAATACCGCCTCAGCCGATCTTTTCCCCCGACCTTCTTTCCAGTCGTAAAATCTAGAAAAAAGCATCATGTTATTCATAATAATATACTGAAAAAATCAGGTTTCTCAAAACGGTATGTAAGCCAAATCCACTGAACATTGTGCCGCAGGACATTTTGAAAACACAACATTCACATTGTAATAAAATAGCCGTTTTCACAAGAAAAAAGCACTTTTTTCAACTTTCTATATCTTTCATGGAACAGATTTTAGCACTGTTCATGGCAATAAACTTAAGAACGATACATCTCACAAAAGTGTCTTACCTAGCAGAACAAAGGGTCAATGTTCAATTACTTTTCTAGTTTATGCGTTCATTTTTATAGTAAAACTATTTTGCATAGTAAACTTCAATGACACATCAATTGTTTGTTGTGATACCAAAACAAAAGGACAACCAATCTAGCTCCTGGTCAAAATTCTTGTACAACTCCCATTCTAATAAAAGGAAACAAAACGAGCAATGACAACATAAGATCCTATGGAAATGTATAAACAATAACATGTTGAGGTATCTCCTGCCCAAGCGAACTGCTATTTATGCAGTTGCTGTAACAGATCGTAACTTGCTTGATAAATATATGCTACTCTTGTCTTTGAATTGAACCCTTTTGTTAACTTCTCGTGCTTTTTTTGGGTCTTTCCGGTGTACTCATGAATTTCTGTAAAATGCATGTTTAGTGATTCGGGGTCTTAGAGCCACCTATTGAAGGGGCATTAATGGTCATAGTATTTTTCTAATACCCCCCCCCCCCTCTCTTTCTCTCTCTCTCTAGATCACACTATCTTCCTTTCTCTCGTTTTCTGTCTCTCTTTCTCTCTTAGATCCCCCCCCCCCCCTCTCTTTTTTGACACTGTAATTTTATTTAAAAGAAGGACCTTTGTTATAAACGCACATCTCCGCCGGATACAGGTCAAATAGGTGTAGTTTCGTTTTTAAAAATCCCTCAAACAACCCTAGTTCAGAAGGCCCTGATGGGGATTCGAAGCAAAGCCATCAGCGTCATAGTTCAGCATGATACCATCTCGGCTAACAAGGCGCCCATCCTTAATGAGACCAAAAGAAGTGAAAATCTGATGTCCCAGAAAGTCAGTCAAGCTGTACGATTCAAATAATATTATCATAATTTACTCTAGTATTGTGTGCAAGCCTTTGCATTATATATACGGCCCAGAAATAGAGGAGACAGTTTACGAAACAGATCTACATTGTACATGATGCATCACCAGAGAAAGACACGCAAGGAGATGGTGTATAAAAATAGACGATATAAGTTATAAGAGAACGTTTGTGCATTGCTGCAAATAACCATGTTAAATTGTGCAGAATGCTAGACACTTATCAAATAGGTCCAACCCGCACAAATATAGTGGACTTTGCTCAGGATGATATCCCCCCCCCCCTCCCCTCGAAAAATCCCCAAAACCAAAACCATCCCACTCCGGATCAATTTAGCCATGAAATACGTTGTTCACATCAGTTTGTCCACCGGCTTCCCAAAGTGGTCAGTTGGTACCAAAAAAAAAGCATCATCATATGGAAAAAGATGTTTTTCATCACATTACATTTTAAGCAGATTCCACATTTTTTAAAGAACATCTTCATCAATTAATGACGTTTAAATATGAAAAATATACATTGTTACAGTACAACTTCAGTAAGACACGCATATAGGGTGCAGCAGTCCAGAGAGTCGACGGAAAGAAGGAAAGTCACTCGTGGGGTCAGCAGATTGGATTTATGGACAGAAGAGAAACATATAATAATCATAATAATAATAATTTTATAAACCCCAAAAAACGCAAATTAACACATACTTGTTCGTAACACTCGATTTTTAAACAAAATGTAAACAAAATGCGTATTATGTGCAGAGAGGCTGCACCACAAAAGAGACAAAAGCAATGGAGCCTGAGTGAGACAAGTTCTTGGAGAATATATTTTAGCCAGAAGAAAAGAAATAGGAATAGTTGTAGAGGCACAAGGAAGTAAAGCTTTCCTGCTGACGTAAGCACGTCAAGTTGTTCGCGTTTTAACTGAGATGTATCAGAGCTTGTGGAGCTGTGAGAGATTGGCAGGATCGAACAAAGCCAATGAAGGGGAGGGTGGGGGCTTGGATAATAGAACGATAGATAGACAGATAGATAGAACGATAGATAGAGCGACAGACAGACAGACAGACGTATAGATGATAAAAAGACAGAGATAAAATGATAAAGTAGAACAGTTCTACCGCGTAGTCAATAGAATCAGAATGAAATTCGTTTGAACATTGCACCATCGTTGTCGCACTAGCTCACACGACTTACATACGCCTTCGCACGCCCTCGCTCTCCCCTCTGTCCCAACTGCACTGAACACACACACACACACACACACACACACACACACACACACACACACACACACACACACACACACGCGCGCGCGCGCACACAGAATGTTATAGGCATACACATTTCGTTTCCCATGACAAAAGAGCATTAACAAAATAATGAATATTCATTTCTCCGTTGACACCTCCACAAGAGCAGACGTGTGTCTGGGTAGGTCCTTTGATTCCGTGCCTGCTTCAGAGGTGCAACATGTGTAGAAAATAACAACAAACGTCCAAACCTCAGCTTCTGAAAGACAGAAGGAATAAAATACAGCCTCGATTTTACCACTGAAATCTATTACGAAGTTACCCCTCGTATCTTTTGATCAAAGAGGGGAAACAAGTAGGATAAAAAGTTAAGCCCGTTCATTAAGGTACTTAAACTCAATTTGCTAACCAGTGTATGTGGTGTAGCGGTTAAGCGTTGCGGTGTCACTGGCAGAAGACCTGACTTCCAATCCTGCGTTTGGAGAATTTTCATCGAGTATCTCTGTCTTTTCTGCTGGGACTTTATATTCCCACTCAGCCCAGGCAGGACCCCCCCCCCCCCTCTAAATATGAAGCCCTGCTGACAAAATGATTTACTTCTCGGATTCAAGCCCTAAGGAAATAGATACATCACGCTTATAGGGGAAATTTTTATTTTTTATATAAATGAAATAATAAAAGGCATGTTATACATAAAGAATATGGCATTAGAAGAAAATCTACAAATTTGACCCAAGTGTCGATATTGGTCCAATATCTCCATTTGTAGATTGCGAGAAGTTCCCCCTTTTGTCAGCACACCTTACAATAATTGAAATACACAAAACTGGGGACATAATAACGTCAACATGAAATCACCAGTTTACGCGGTGTGTTACTCCCCGTGGTTAGCTTGATAAAACTTGAAGGACATCAAGACTTTAGAGAAAATGAGATGCAATTTCGGCTTTTGAAATTTGATGACATTATCCAATATGGCGGATATTTGCTTGGTTACCATTGTTACCATGTGCTTGTCCTGACAATGAATTACTAAAAGTCAATTCTTTGAGGTCTGACTAATAAACATGTTAGCCTATAGAGCATCGTTCCTGTATGTTTAGTCAAGGGAAAAAGGTTTTAGAACTTTCACCAGCAGATGGCCTTAAGTTTACACAATCTTATCTAGAACTCTAGTGGGAAGACTCTACAGTGAACACAGAGAGTGTTATACAGTGGACGTTGCTCAATATGATGGCAAGGGATACAGAAAAGACTTCAGTTTCAGTGATAAGGCTTGTTTGCTTTTTGGTGCTTTTTAAAAC